CGGACGCCGCGCGGGCGGCGACGGCGCTGACGCAGGACGACCTCAAGAGGCTCGCGGCGGTGCGCGCGGTGGAGCAGGTGCAGAGCGGCATGGTCCTGGGGCTCGGGACGGGGTCCACGGCCGCCTTCGCCGTCGCCGAGATCGGCGCGCTCCTCGCCAGCGGGAAGCTCTCCGGCATCGTCGGCGTGCCCACCTCCAAGCGCACCTTCGAGCAGGCCATGTCGCTCGGGATCCCGCTCTCCACGCTCGACGACCACCCCGTCATCGACCTCGCCATCGACGGCGCCGACGAGGTCCTCTCCTCCCTCTTCCCTCGCCATTGACTTTCTCTCTGCACCGTACCATTTTAGTTCTGACGGCTCTTACTGAGGTTCAGTTCAGATTGTCCCCTTAATTTTTCCCAAGAACCATCTATGATTAACCATGTTTCAATTTTTTTACCAAGCAGGTCGACCCAGATCTTAACCTTGTCAAAGGGCGGGGTGGAGCCCTGCTCCGGGAGAAGATGGTCGAGGCCGCGTCAGCAAAGTTTGTCGTCGTCGTCGATGAGACGAAGCTGGTCGCCGGCCTGGGAGGGAGCGGCCTCGCCATGCCGGTGGAGGTCGTGCAGTTCTGCTGGAAGCACAACCAAGTAAGGCTGCAGGGTCTGTTCAACGAAGAAGGCTGCGAGGCGAAGCTGAGACTGAATGAGGATGGCAAGCCCTATGTTACTGACAACTCGAACTACATTGTCGATTTATACTTCAAGACGCCGATCAGGGACGCGCTGGGCGCGGGCAAGGAGATTGCGGCTTTGGAAGGAGTTGTTGAGCATGGCTTGTTTTTGAACATGGCAACTTCAGTGATCATTGCCGGATCGGACGGCGTCAGTGTCAAAACAAAGTGAGTGTTTTGGGTCAGCTACCTGTTGTTGGTGTGTTGAATTTACGATTTTTCAATGAATAAGCTATCTGTGTAAAATGAGGAAATTATGTTGTTCTATAAAATATAGTTTTTCTATGTTTCGTTGGCTCTCACAGTTTATTTTTGGCTTGAAAGAGAATCAGATTGTGGATAAAACACCACTTCAATTGATTGAAGCCGTTGTGATCGTGACAAGTCAATGCCATTAATCTTCTTGGGCGCCAATCATCTTATAGAACAACACTTTGAATAAACTTGGGAGCCTGCATGTATATCAGATAATTCAGAATACAGCTCACCACAAGCTTATTCATCACCTAACATGCTACAAACTCAAGCAAGCAAAAATAGCAAAATATAATATGCGGCTTATAGATGTACCTGTTAAAAGTTCTTTTCCCCTTATTATTCTGGACAAGAAGTGTCGGCTGCATATCCATGTGGTCTTTCAAGGCAGCAAGGGCCAACACTGAAACAGTCTTATCAATGTAGAAATACAAAAACAAGAACAGCCGCACAACTTTATTCAGATATCAGCAAAATCTTCAGATAGCTTATACTCCCTCTGTAAACTAATATAAGAGCATTTAGACAACTAAAGTAGTGATCTAAACACTCTTATATTAATTTACGGAGGGAGTAGTATTGAAGTACATCCAAGAACTGTTCTTTTCTCAAAATGTCAACATGGTTTTGGAGTTGTATTCACAAGACAATTTCAGGTCAGAAAATTGGAGTACTGGTCCACAAGGGAGGTGGGTGGGGTGTTTACACAGTGGAACTGTACAGCCTGAAGCTAATAAAATGCAAATTATTGTGGGTTTATGTTTTCCTTTCGAGGCCCCCCCTTATAATCCCGTTTCTTTGAAGCTCTTTGACAACCATATGGCTGTCTCTCTTGGAGACGCCTTCCCAGGTCCAAAAGGCTTTAGCAAGATCCCCAGCTCCTGAAATCTCTCTTGTTGGAGCAACTGGGCACTGAACTCAAGCAAGCCCTCTAGAGCCTCAGCTCGCTGCCGGTAGGATGTCGTGTCGAACCTCTTCTGCCTCCAATCAGACGAACTTCCGAGTTGATTATTGTCGATACTGAGCAGGTTCAGATCACGAGTGTTGGTGTGGCTTTCACCGTCCCCTCGGAGCACTTGGAAAGTGCATTTGTCCTTGGTGATTGATTTGTCAGTGATAGATGGTGGCAAGAGCTTCATGATGGGATACAATGGATCTTCAGACGATGCCAGTGGGAATTCAGCAATTCTGTCGATTCGAGGTGCGTTAACTGATACATCAGGAGACTTCAATCTGGTAAGAATGTCGACGAGTCGCTTCTTCTCAGGAGCTTTGAACATGTGTGGGGAAAGTGATGCTCGCCGTGTAGCTTGTATTGTCTGGTCTTCTGAAGACCTTGATGGGGAAGGCTGCTGCTGCTGTGAAAACAAGAAAAGGTTAATGCATAATATTTGATCAAAGTACACACAATACGTCACACATGCACTACACATAACGCGAACCTGCAAGCTGATACACAGCTCTCCCGCTTGTTCAGTTATTTTTTACTGTGTACAAGAGTTTAACCTTTTGTATAGCCAGATACTACGTACCTCCTCTTTGTGAGCTGTTCTAGCATGAAATGTTTTTGCAGGTTCTAGCCGTCTCCTAGGAGTCGAGGACGCCCTTCGTGGAGTGCGTGCCGGTGATCTTGTTTCTTTTGAATGTTTATCATGCATCGCTTCTTTGACAACTTCCTTGGTGACCTGGACTGGTAACTGAACCATCTCTTGATGAAGCGGTTTTGAACAATCTTTTGCTGTTCTGGTAGACTGAGGAGGGCCATGGTTAGCGGTGGCATTGTCAAGTTCCACAATCCTATGTATTTTAAATGAATGACTCTTAACATATTGGGGTTTGCAATTGTCTTCATCATCAGAACACGCAGTCTTGTTTTTTTCATGTTTGTTAGGAAGTATAGCTGGGAACATATTGGGAGCCAGACTTGATTTCGATTGGATTTCCAACACATAGGGCTGAAGATGCGGATGGTTTAGCAGATCTGCAGCCTGAAAATCACAATCAGTATGAGGCGATGAGATGCGCAAATGAGTGCAGAAACAACAGTATAGTCATTAAAATAAAATAAATATTCTCTAGGAAAATGACTCGTACACTCGGTCTGTGATCTGGATTTCTGCGCAGCATGCTTTTGATGAGTCCCCTACTGCATGACAGAAAATAAATATATTATAAAAATAATTTTCAGATGCCATGAATAGCTCACAAGAGCTTCCTACAAGTTAATCCGTTACAAGTGCTTACAATGCACCAGAATATATAGTCGGTAGAGGGGCGACAACAGACTTGTTAATCTTGTTTATCAGTGTCTGCATATCCTGTTAGGGAAACACATCATCTTAAGTACAACTTTTGGTGAAACATAGTACCAAATGCTTAAAGAGCATATCAACTTACAAATGCTTTGAATGCATGCTTCAGCGCAGTCATCTCATAGATGCAGCATCCTGAAAATTGCACATGTTTAGCCAAGAGAACATTGCGACGATCGGAGCAAGACATGTAACTGAATATCAGATAGGAATACTTGCCTAGCGACCATATGTCGGACTTGGAGCCATATGGAATGTCGGCAAGAAGTTCAGGGCACATGTAACTGGGAGTTCCTACAACCTTCAGAAGAGACACAATATGTCGAGTTGTAAGCAACTTATGTTAGAAAGATGAGCCTACCTACGGATTGAGCAAGAACAACTTACTGACGAAGCTAAATCGTCAGAAGTCAATACTTTGGCCAGCCCAAAATCACCTGTTTCAGACAAGATATATATTCAGAACAGAAGATATCGCCGTCAGTTATTTCAAGTATTTTTCCTAGCTGATTTTATTAGAGCATACTTACCGATCCGTATATTTTGGTCCTTTGTAAGAAATATATTTGAACACTGGAAAAAGCACAATGCATTACGTGAGTAACCGGCTAGGCTTAACTGAAATGAAATGCGAGTACCAGATAAAGGTTACAAATGTAACAACCTTGACATCTCGATGAAGGATATGATTGGCATGCAAGTAATCAAGCGCCATCAGGAGCTGCACAAGCCACACACAGAGTTTCTGCATCCAGAAAAAAGGACACGGCAACGGGGCAAAATTCAGTAATTGAATTTGCAGCTACTTACTGAACAACACATATTACAGAGTACTAGTTGAGCACCTCCTCCGAGAAATGGTTGCCGTTAGCCTTCTTAATGGCCTCTAGCCTGCAAATGCACAGGGAAAAACAGAGAACCACAATTTCGTCACAGGTTCCAAATTCAGTTCAGAGCTTACTTCACAAGTTGCATACATACATGTCCCCTCCCTCGCAGTAACCGATCACGATGCACACATAGCACCCCTGATTACAACAACAAAGACACTCATTTCAGGTGACGGCGATCACATGAATCCTTCAGTTTGGAACATTTTTCTTTATTGAAAGAGAATTTTCAGTAGGAACATTGAAACATGCAAGGAAAGGACCCTGCCAATATGCAGAGATAAGAGAAGAGGGTAGGACCATGATGCTCACCTTCTCCACCCAAGAATCTTTGTACTCCACAATGTAAGGGCTCCTTACTTTTGCGATGAGCTCCATCTGCATGAACAAAATGGTGAATTTCGCGCATTCATCCAAATGTCAAACGAACCATCTAAGTTGGACGCTGACAAATGAGAAACGACATGAGACAAAATAGGGAATGAAAAAGACCTCTTGGTGCGCGGATCGACGGCACCTGACGGTCTGACGGGCGAGCCGGATCTTCTTCAGGACGTACCTGAAACAAGCCATGCTTGATAGATGCCCCAGGGATTCTGAAGAACATAGGAGGATGAACAAGCAAGGGTAGAATTGCATGCGCTAACCTCTTCTTCTCAACCTTGTGCCTCACCAGGAGCGCAGAGCCAAAGGAGCCCTTCCCAATCTGCTCCAGCACCTCGTACTGATCCATCTTCTTCTTCTTCTTCTTCTTCCCTAATCCGATTCAGCCCAAATAGAATAGCTTCTTCCCTGCCAAGAAAGAAGAAACAAACGGCCCTGAAAGGGGAATCGCAAGAAAAACACACAAGGGAACAGATTGGAGAAGATTTCAACGGACCACGCCAAGGACGAATTCGATTCTACAGTCAGAAAGAAAGAAAAAAGGAGGAAGCAAAACTGACGCGCGTCCGGAATCGCTACCTCGGCTTGACGATCAATTGACGAGAAGGCCGTGCTCGTCCTCGCCTCGCCCGCCTTCCATTTTTAGAGGGAGAAAGGCTGTAGTGCGCTCTGGCTACGGAGGGATGGGTGGCCGGCCGCGCTCGCGAGAGCGAGAGGTTTTCAGAGTTTTCAAAGTGCGGAGAGAGGGAGAGAGTGGTGGGGGGCACACACGCGCGGCTGCGTACAGTGTGTTGCAGAGAGATTTGACTATGATTGTTAATGCGAACCCCGTCTACGGAGCATTGTTTATGGGCTTATTCGTATCGCCGATTCGTGATGGCGGAGCTCCTACGCGCTTCCTGTACAAGCCGGCGATAAAGCAGTGGGAGACAAATTACAGTGTTTGTTATTGGCAAAGATATGGTCCAGGACATGCAAGCAAGTACAGAAGTACTACTAATGAAAAATGATTATTTGTATTTTTGGGCCATGCCTATTTCAGGGCGACACTGGTTTTGCGGTGCTCTTTTGAGTGCCACACCTCGAGCTCTGCGGTAAAAAAAAAATCTAATCGATATCTGCATTTTCGTGTTTGCAATAATGCGTCACTCGATTGTTGATGAGGGGGATGTTTGAAATTTGCTCGAATTAGCTCACAACTATTAGGGTTCAAAAAATGCACCATTTTATAAATTTCCGCTAATAACTGATATCATTGCGCCAAACAATTGCGCAAAACACTAATGATTGATTTGGTTAAATTTGAACGGTTTTCTAATAGTTGTGGCCCACATGTCGTCATGGCCACGTAGCAAAGGGGAGATGGTAGGTGGTTAACAACCGTTAGCCTTTTGATCCGGTCGGACCATATCTTCTCCACACTCGCACTTCCTCTCCCCCTCCCATTCACTCTCTCCTCTCGGCCGTGCGTCTCTATTCCTTCGTCGGCGATGGCGGCAACAAAGCTCACGCACGGCGGCGAGTCTGTGACGCCCCTGATTCAATCGTACACTAATCATGCAAATGTGTACGATCAAGATCAGCGGCTCACGGAAAAATATCACAACACAACTCTAAAAAGTAAAATAAGTCATACAAGCATCATATTGCAAGCCAAGGGCCTCGAGGACTCAAATACAAGTGCTCGAACATAAACGAGTCAGCGGAAGCAACAATATCCGAGTACAGACATAAGTTAAACAAGTTGCCATAAGATGGCTAGCACAAACTGGGATACAGATCGAAAGAGACGCATGCCTCCTAAACTACTCTTGGTCGTCGGTGGCCTGAACGTAGTAGTAGGCACCCTCGGTGTAGTAGGGGTCGTCGTCGACGGTGGCGTCTGACTCCTGGGTTCCAACATCTGGTTGCGACGTCCGAGGAGAAGAGGAAAAAAGGGGGAAAAGAGGAAACAAAGCAACCGTGAGTACTCATCCAAAGTACTCACAAGCAAGGATCTACACTAAATATGCATGGGTATCTGTGTAAAGGGGCAATATCGGTGGACTGAACTGCAGAATGCCAAAATAAGAGGGGATAGTTAGTCCTATCAAAGACTATGCTTCTGGCAGCCTCCATCTTGCAGCATGTAGAAGAGAGTAGATTGAAGTTCACCCTCCATCTTGCAGCATGTAGAAGAGAGTAGATTGAAGTTCACCAAGTATCATCACATAGCATAATCCTACCCGGCGATCCTCCCCTCGTCGCCCTGTGGAAAAGCGATCACCAAGATGTCTCTGGAACTTGTCTCTGTGTGTTTTATTAAGTATCCGGTTCTAATTGTCATAAGGTCAAGGTACAACTCCGGATCGTCCTTTTACCGAGGGACACAGCTATTCGAATAAATAAACTTCTCTGCAGGGGTGCACCACATTTCCCAACACACCCGATCCCTCTGGCCGGACACACTTTTTTGGGTCATGCCCGACTTCGGAAGATCAACACGTCGCCGCCCTACCTAGGCACAACAGAGAGGTCAGCACGGGTCTAAATCCTATGTGCGCAGGGGTCTCGGCCCATCGTCTATTGCACACCTACACGTTGCGTACGCGGCCGATGAGCAGACCTAGCCTCCCTTATACAAGAGCAGGTGTTCCAGTCCAACACTACAAAAAAAAGACACATCCGTGACATTTTGGGCCGAACGAATTTTTTTTGTCATACTTATGACACTTCTATGACGATAATTGTGACAAAACCCGGTATCATCATAGATGTGGTGGGATCCTACTTCTATGACAAAAAATCATGACAGAAAATGGGCTTTTCATCCTGGGCGGGCTGGAGACGTTGCTGCATGACATTCTTTGGGCCGTCCATGACGGAAAAAACCATGGTAGAAGCGAGGGCGAGGAAAATTTCGGCGAGTTCCCGGTTACGGTGGATGGTCGGGGCCCGAGCGATGCACGTTTCTCTCGTACACGTACGCGTGTGTGTGCGAGGCATTGGCTCTAACTGAACCCGAGCGAGGCATTGGGCTCTAACTGAATCCGAGCGATTGCACTGCAGGCTACACGTTACTAAACCCGAGCGATCGATCGATGACTGTTAACTGAACCCGATCGAGCGATTCCTTCGCTACTGCTGCTAACTGAAGCCGGCCGATGCTGTCTCTGGATGAACAGTGAGCGTTGCAGGGGGAGGGGGGTTGGATGAAAAATGAGCAGTGGGGGTGGATGAACAGTACCCCGTGGCGTTGCCTCTGGATGAACAGGACCCCGATCGATCGAGCCGGTTGGAGCTGGATGAACAGGAACCCGTGGAGGGCTGGATGAATAGGACGACCCCGTGTAGGGCTAGATGAACAGTAGGCGGTGGAGGGGTGGATGAACAGTGTCCCGTGGAGGGGTGGTTGAACAGGAGCCCGTGGAGAAGGGTGGTTGAATAGTAGCCGGTGGAGTAGCGCACGGTGGAGGCTGGATGAACAGGAGCTCGTGGATGAACAGTCGTAGGTGAAGGCTGGAGGAGGTCGATGGTGGATGAACAGTAGCCCGTGGAGGCTGGAGGAGGTCGACGGTGGAGAAGAACAATATCCCGTGGAGTCCCGTTTTGTGGTACGCCACACCCTTCCTGATGAACAGGACCCCCGTTTCGACCGTAGCGCTCCAACACAAGTCCGTTTCGTCCGTTTTGCGGTACGCCACACCCCCCGATCAACATGACCCTTGTTTCGACCGTAGGAGGTCCGTTTCCTCCGTTTTTGATACGCCAGACCCTTCCCGATGAACAGGATCCCGTTTCGAACGTGGCGGTCGAACACAAGGCCGTTTCCTCTGTTGTGTGGTACGCCAGGCCTCGTTTCCATCTCCTGTTCCGTCCAAGCCCTCCCGATGAACACGACGACACATTTCATTCCGACCCAGCTGGTTGGCTTCCCATGAACACGACGACGACGCTGTTTCTCCGTTCTGACCCAGCCATGTACACAAGCCCTGGCCATACGTATGCGCGAGTAGGCGTTCGAGACCCCGCCCGTATGTATGTACGTGGCCATATTTTCTTTCTTGCACACTGGCCGCTGTACATATGTGTACATGCTACGTGCGCGCCTCTACTACGACACATGCGTGTCTCTACATCCACCAGTATGTACGTACATGTTCGCGACTAGAATGACAATGCTACGTACACTTCGACCAGGTGGGTCCCGACTGTCAGGCACTTCCTTGCGTGCGAAGATGTAGATGGTGGGTCCCAACAGTCATGGGGCGAATCATTTTTTTTGCTCGGACGCACTTCCTTGCGTGCGAAGATGTAGCTGGTGGGTCCCAGCAGTTAGGGGCGAATCATGTTTTTCACGAAATACGGTGACCCGTCCGGTGGGTCCTTGCTGTCAGGTGAAGGAATAATTATTTTGCGCGTAATAAGGAGGCACTTCCTTGCGGCCGCCGTGGACCCAGCTGTCAGCCTCTCCACGTACAGTACTCCGATGGAAGTCGTTCCTTGACCATGTTGATCACGCCGCACAGAGAGCACCAGGGCGGTGGACGACGAGGCCTAGGAAGGGAACGACATGGAGCCAGGGAATACGCGGCAATGGAAGCCCGCACGGAGAGGAGTACGAGGGTTCACTGGTTCGGCTGCGGTGTGTGGCTCTCGTCGCCGCAGAATAACAGGGGGTGTGGGTGAGTAGAGGGATGGCCTGGTCAGCGGTGCGAGTAGTAGGGGGCAGTGAGGCCTCCGCGACATCACAACCGGCCACGGGAGTCAGGAGCACACGGCATGACCAACGCTGGTTTGGGCGGCTGGAGCAAGAAGACCAGAGGTTGAAGAAGCACTACGGCCGTTGGATGAACATCGTACGGTAATAGGAGCTAGAATCGTTCATATTGACTAAGTTGACAAAGCCCTCCGTCCCCGTCAACTTTGTAGGCCCACAAGTCAGCCTTCCACTATGCTGGGTTCCAGCTGGCAGGGAGAGTATTCATTTTTTTGTGTGTAATAAGGAGGCACTTCCTTGCGTGCGAAGATAGGTGGTGAGTCCGACCTGTCAGCGGGGGGGGGGGGCACATTTTTTTCCATGAAATACAGAATCCCTTCTGGTGGGTCCCAGATGTCAGGTGGAGCAATCATTATTTTGCGCGTAATAATGAGGCATTTCCTTGTGTGCGGCCGTGGACTCAGCTGTCAACCTCTCCACGCATAGTCTACTTCCGATGGTGTTATTCATTGACCATGTTGACCACGCCGCGCCAAGCGCATCCAAGGTGGTGGACGACGGCGAGGCCCCGGACAGCAACGAGCCAGAGATGGGAAGACGCGGGAGTAGAGTCGCAGACGGAGAGGTGTACGAGGGTTAACTGATTCTAG